AGGGACCACAGCGCTGCAGGAGTCTGGTGGAGGGAGCTTGCTCCTGGCTGGCTGGAGGGCAGCTCAGCTTCACGGATGGAGGAAGCAGGCCTTGATGGTGGGCTGGGGCTGAGGCAGAGCACTCCACGGAGCCCAGGCCTCTGCACAGGAATGCTCCTGCCCTGTCCTCCTGTTTTGCCCTAGGAAAGGATAGACGATGACTTACTCTGGTCCTCGTCCCCTGGTCCTCCCTCCCCTAGTCCTCTCTCCCTTGGTCCTTCTCCCATAGCCCTTCGTCTGCTGGTCCTCCCTCCCCCAGTCCTCCTCCCTGGTCCTCTTTCCCCTGGTCTTCCTACCCTAGTCCTCCCTCTCCTCATGCCCTTCCCCTGGTTCTCCTCCCCTGGTCCTCCTTCCGCTGGTCCTACCCACCTAGTCCTCCGTCCCCTGTTCCTCCTCTCCCACTCCTCCCTGCCCTGGTCCTCCTCCCCCAGTCCTCCCTGCCCTGGTCCTCCTCCCCCAGTCCTCCCTGCCCTAGTCCTCCTCCCCCAGTCCTCCCTGCCCTGCTTCTCCTCCCTTGTTGGTCGGTCAGGTGTGTCACACTGTGGTGGGCTGGGTGGTCAATACAAGGACAAAGAGTTGAGAGACTCCCTTCACATCGGGGAGAAAGAGCCCCTATGTCAAGGGAGTCCCCAGTCTGAGGGGGAGACATGGCTGCTACCTTGAGGAGGTGTCCAATTTAAGGGGAGAGACACAGCCTCTGTTTCGGGGAGCCTGGCCCCATCTGCCCCTGGAGAAAGCCGCTCAAGAGCATTGCAGAGCAGGTGCGAATGAGCTCTCATCAACAGGGAGAAACCAGCCTCCCCAGGGTGCGGGGAGGGAGGAGCGAGCTGGTAGGTGGGTGAGGGAGGGAGGTGCAGCTGGGGGTTTGAGGTCTGCAGGGTGGGAAGGAGCCTGGAGTCCCTTTGGTGTCTCTGACATCCCACTCCCCCAGGCCCTCAGGGCCCCCTCAGCCAGGCTGCAAGGCAGAGTGGAGAGGGGGTGTGAGCCCCAGGCCTGAAAGGGGAACCCACTGGAGTTTCTGCCTCTCACTCACCCCCATGTGTCCCTCAGGCCAAGGAAGTCGTGGGGGGAAGTGAAAAGAGGGAGGAAAAAGAAGGAGGGAAGGGCAGAGGGAGGGAAGGGCAGAGGGAGGGAAAGACGGAGGGAAGGACAGAGGCAGGGAAGGACGGAGGGAGGGAAAGACAGAGGGAGGGAAGGACAGAGGGAGGGAAAGACGGAGGGAAGGACAGAGGGAGGGAAGGGCAGAGGGAGGGAAGGGCAGAGGGAGGGAAGGACAGAGGGAGGGAAGGGCAGAGGGAGGGAAGGGCAGAGGGAGGGAAGGACAGAGGGAGGGAAGGACAGAGGGAGGGAAAGACGGAGGGAAGGACAGAGGGAGGGAAGGGCAGAGGGAGGGAAGGGCAGAGGGAGGGAAGGACAGAGGGAGGGAAGGGCAGAGGGAGGGAAGGGCAGAGGGAGGGAAGGACAGAGGGAGGGAAGGACAGGGGGACGAAGCGGTCTCGTCAAGACTCCTCTCACAGGAGTCTTCACCCTGTGAGAGGCAGTGAGGTGTCCCATGGGTGACCCCGGAGGCCTGGGTTTCCTGTCCGCGATGTCCTCCCCACCCATTCCCGCTGGTCCCCAGGCTTCCCTCTCTTCCTCCCTTGCTCTGTCCTCCCACCCTGGGCCTCATCTGGGGTCACCCATGGGACACCTCCAGGCCCTCTTTTGGGAAGGGCCCCTGGACAGCTACGGTGCTGTCTGGAAGGGTGGGGTGTTCCTGGGTGACCGTATCCTACATCTTAGATCTGCCCCAGGCCGACGGTTCCTGGAAACCAGTCAGAGGCAACTGAGGGGTGCAGAGGGGAAGAAAGGCTGGGTCCACTCGCCCCTGGGTAGGGGAGCCCCTGGCCAAGCTCTGGGTATGCAGAGGGTGCTGGGGGATCCCCTTACCCTGTCTCTTCAAACTGGGGCAGAGGCTCAGGGCACCCTGCAATGTCCTGAATCTCCCAGGGCCCTGGGAAGGTGGAGGGCGGGGCCCTTTGCAGCCAGATACAAATCATTAGTGGGTGGATCTGGGCGGGGCCGCCTGGGGCCTCAGGATAGAGGCAGGAAACAGAATAGAGGAAGCGGGATTCCACCTGCGAGCCAGCGGCAGGTGTGGCTGGGTGAGGGTGCACTTCTCAGGGGATGCTGGGCCAGGGGTGGGAGTGCCTGGGGGTGAGTGAGGGGCAGGAGATCTGTGAGCACCAAGGGCCCTGCAGGTGACAGGGGCTGTGTGTCTGAGGGGTGAATGGAAAGACCCCAGTGGGTCCTAGTGACAAGGGACTAGGGTTGGAATGAGGGTCTCTGGAGTTCTCTCCTCATCAGCCAAGCCAAGGTCTCAGCTGGGGAGCCTGTTCCAGGCTCCTGGGCCTCTCACTTTCCCTGACCACCTGATACTGACCCGTTTCCGTGGGGGGAAGGATAGGTGGCCATGTCCCTTTCCTGGGACCTTGTCTCCACCCCAGTCACCGCCCAGGCTCCACGATCCTAACAATTCAGCAAGCACTCGCAGAGAACCTGCTGCGCACAGCCCGCCCTGGTTCTGGGCAGCGGCGTGGGGTGTGGGGTGGGCACCATCCTACGGGTTGACAATTACTGCTTGGGGGGCCTGTAGGAGCCAAGGCCAGCTGGGCAGACAGGGCATGACCTTGTTTTTTTGTTTTTTTTTTGAGATGGAGCCTCGCTCTGTCGCCCAGGCTGGAGGGCAGTGGAGCAATCTCAGCTCACTGCAAACTCTACCTCCTGGGTTCAAGCGATTCTCCTGCCTCAGCCTCCTGACTACCTGGGATTAGAGGTGCCCGCCACCACGCCTGGCTTATTTTTGTATTTTCAGTAGAGTTGGGGTTTCACCATGTTGGCCAGGCTGGTCTTAAATTCCTGACCTCAAGTGATCTGCCAGCCTCGGCCTCCCAAAGTGCTGGGATTACAGGCGTGAGCCACTGAGCCTGGCCAGACCTTGTCATCATCAATATGCATCTATTGGCTGGGCGCAGTGACTCACTCCTATAACCCCAGCACTTTGGGAGGCAGAGGCAGGAGGATTGCTTGAGCCCAGGAGCTGGAGAGCAGCCTGGGTAATATAGTGAGACCCCGTCTCTATTTAAAATTTAAAAAAAAAAAATGCATCTATTGACCATCTCATGTCCACAGGGCCTCAAATCATTCTACACCCTCTGCCTCCCCACAACATAATAGGGGTGATATTAGGGGACACTGTCCCCAAACCCTAGCCCTGCTCAAATTCCAGGCAGGTTCCGTCTGTGCTGCGCTCTCCAGCGTGCTGGTTTTTCTGCCGTCTCTGCAGAGGAGACTGAGGGGGAGCCAAGGCTGGGCTGGCACCTAGGGCACTGGGGGAAGCTGTGAGTTCTCCCAGCCACCTCCCTGGGCCTCCCCCTCTGCCACCTGTGCTTGACTCCAGTAGCCTCTGGGGCTGGAAGAGCCATTGGACCTCTCCTTCTCTTCCCCTTCATCTTCCATGCGGGCTAGGCTGCTGCCGCTGCTGGAGCTGCAAGCCTGGGCTGCCCCTTGGGGGAGACAGCGACCTCTCCCTGCTGGGGGTGGAGGACAGGCCCAGACAGGATGTGCCATGGCCCCGAGGACCTCTGTGTGGCCCTTCAGCCGGCCCCTGCCAGGCCTTCCTCCCTGGCTGGGAGAGTGGGACCTGCTGAGGCCTGCTCCAGGCCCGGTTCTGATGCCAACATTGGACCGCCCGACTGCCCGCTGCTCAAGCACCCTGCGCCTTGGTGTCCTCAAGGCACTGTTGTGAGGGTCTCAGGAGGAACGTTTGCATTTTTCTAGCCCTGGTCAGGGAGTAGCCCCACGCTCTGGAGGGCAGGGGAGGCCTTCCTGGGGTCCCACTTCTATCTCTGCACTGAGAGCTGAGCTTGCCCTCCTGCCTGGCTGGCCCGGCCTGTCCTCAGCATGTGAGGCTTCTCTGGGCTGGGGGCTAGAGGGAGATTCACAGGCAGTAGAGCCTCTAACGAGCAGAAGCAAAGGGGCCTGGGTGGGGGGGGCGGTCAGTGGCATGGGGAAACTGAGGCCCAGAGAGGAAGAGGAGCGGGCTGGCGGCAGAAAGCCTGTCAGGGGTGAGGAAGCTTGTGGAGGCTAAATGGTGGTCTTGAGGGTTGGAGGCATGGGTGATTTTAGAGGCAGAAAGAAGGTTAATAAACTCTCTCTGCCCCTTCAAATTAGGCGTCAAGACTAAGGTCTGGGTACTCTGGAAGTGGGGTTCCCAGGCAGGGTGAGCACTGGCGGTGTGGGCTCTAGGGGGAGGCAGAGGGGCGGTGGCACCCCATGGCCTGGTCCCCTCCCTAGGGCCCTGGCTCTGCCCCACATTTGCTGCCAGAAGGTGGGGCAGTCCCTTTTCTGAGCCCAGAGTGAGGCCCGCCTGGGTAGCCCAGCTGGCCTGGGGGAGGATGGGGCGTGGGAAGGGAGGGGTTCTTACTGGAGGATGGGGATGGGGAGGGTCTTCATTTCCTCTCTTTGTGTGTGAGTGCCTGCGGGTGTAGTCCTGACCCTGGCTGCTCAGGTGAGCCCGGGTTTTACTGGGTCTCTCTCCTCCCTGAAGACAGTCCTGGATTACCGGGAAGTCCTTCCTGATGTCTAACCTCATGTTCATGGTGGTCTGACCTTGCTCTCTAGCCTTGGTTTCGAACCTCCCCCCATCCCTGCCCAGCACCTTTACAGGCTGGGCGGGAGCAGTAAAGTCAGGGCTCAACCGCTGTCTTCCAGATAGCTCCTGCCGTTCCCAGCTGGCACAGTCCCCAGCTGGCACTTTCCGTGAGAGACCACCCACTGTCTGAGCAGGAAGTCTTTCCAGCAGTGTGGTCTCATCCAGGAGTTCTGGGCCACCTCCCTCCCTGTCCCCGTGTGCGGGCAGAGAGCCCAGGCCACCCGTGCACTTCCCTCCCCTCTTCTGTTCCGCAGGCCCTGGCTGCCCTGGGAAACTCCACATTCAGACACGCCTGGTGCAGACGCTGGTGTCCTGGCAGCGCCTAAATCATTAGCGCCGCGGAGATTAGGCTGCTAATCTCCTTGTTGGGTGGAGCGGTGCCAGCCGCCAGCCTGTGGATCATGCTGCTCTCTTGCAGGGGCCGTTCCTCGGGGCACGACGCTGGCTCCTGCACAGATCCTGCTCCTTTGTGGCCTTCCTGGGCTGCCCGCCCCTCCTCCAGGACTGCTCTAGACTGACGCTTCTCAGGTTCGGGTGAGCCGGGAGGCTGCCCTAACCCTCTGGTCTCAGACCCCTGCTCCCAGCCCCACCCCTGCTTCCTGTTTTGTTAGAGCCTGGCTGATGTCATTATCTCTCCAGATTCCCTCAAAGACTTTGGGAGACGAGATTTGGTCCCCCTTTTACAAACGAGGGAACGGAGGCTCTGGAACTGACTTCCTGAATGGCTTGGATCCAAAGCTCCCTCAGTTCAGCCGCCACGTCTATTTCCCTCAGACACAGGGATCCTTGAACCTGTGGGCTGTATCTCCCCGTGGACTGGGAAGAATCCCAAGAGAGTGGGGCTCCCACAGGTCAGACGCTAATTCTGCCTCCTCCGACTGGGAGTCTCTGCCAGGGCCACGTTGTACCTGGGGGATGATGTCAGCCCCCGATCTCTCCACCCTCACCCCGGGGCCCTGGAATGCTGGGTGGGGGGCCAGGACAGCCTCCCGCTCCTGCTCTCCTGGCCTGTGCAGCCTTGTCCTGTGCCCGTGCTGGCTCCCAGGGCTGGATTCTCCGGACTCCACACAAGAATGAGCTCAGCCTCCTAACTGCGGCTGAGCATGGAGGGCCACCCTACCCCAGGGCTGCAGCTCCAGCACCACCTCTCCCCTTCCCTCCCCTCCCCTCCCCTCCCCTCCTTTCCTCTCCGACAGAGTTTTGCTCTTGTCACCTGGGCTGGAGTGCAATGGCGCCATCTCGGCTCACTGCAACCTCCACTTCCCAGGTTCAAGCTATTCTCCTGCCTCAGCCTCCTGAGTAGCTGGGATTACAGGTGCGTGACACCATGCCCAGCTAATTTTTGTATTTTTAGTAGAGATAGGGTTTCACCATGTTGGCCAGTCTGGGCTCGAACTCCTGACCTCAGGTGATTCACCTGCCTTGGCCTCTCAAAGTGCTGGGATTGCAGGCATGAGCCACCACGCCCCGCCACCACCTTTGTGTCTGAACAGACCACTAAGAGGCCCTGGTGCTCAGGCTGGGCTCTGGCTATGGAGGGGCCCCTGGGGAGGCTCTCAGTGTGTCCAGCCTGAGCCCCAGGCCCTGGGTGGCTGGGATGGAGGCAAAATACACTCCTGGGGTTTTGGCCTGAAATTCAAGGGCCAGAGTCGGAGCCCCACTTCAGCCTGGCTATAATTGGCTACCCCGTCTCCATCCAGACCAGACCCTTCACCCGACCCATGGACACCCTGGTTGTCACCACTACCAGCATCTGCCAGTTCTCCACCTCTGGCTCTGTCAACGGCCTGTGGACACCTGGCGGGGGTTTCTCCTGGATGTCATCTGTCAGTGTTGGGGATGCCTTTTGGGCCACCAGCCTCCTGGGAGCCAATAGCTGTGGCAACATGTCCGTCACCTCCTCCTGCTTCTTGGCAGGATTTCGGGGAGGCTACAGCGGTGGCCACACCTGCAACCTGGGTGGGGGCTTTGGCTCCAGCGTTGGCATGGCAGATGCCCTGCTGGGGGGCGGTGAAAAGGAGACCATGCAGAACCTGACTGACCACACACACATCACACACCTACACACACACACACATCACACACATACACACACACACATCACACACGTACACACACACAAACACCACACACACACCACACACATCACACCCATCACACACGTACACACAAACACCACATACACCACACACATACACACACAAACACCACACACACCACACAATGCACACACACAAACACCACACACACACCATACACACATCACACACGTACACACACACAAACACCACACACATACCACACACATCACACACATACACACAAACACGACACACACATCACACACGTACACACACACAAATACCACTCACACCACATGCATATCACACACATCACACACATACACACAAACACCACACACACAAACACCACACACACACCACACACATCACACACATACACACAACACACACACATTACACACATACACACACAAACACCACACACACATCACACGCATACACATACACAAACACTACACACACATTACACACATACACACACCACACACACCACACACATACCACACAGTACACACACACAAACACCACACACACCACACACATACACACACAAACACCACACACACATCACACGCATACACATACACAAACACTACACACACATTACACACATACACACACACACCACACACATACCACACAGTACACACACACAAACACTACACACACCACACACATCACACACGTACACACACAAACACCACACATGCACCACACATGTACACACACAAACACCACACACAACACACACATACACGCACACAAACACCACACACACTACACACATCACACACATACACAAACACCACATACACACCACACACATACACACACAGAAACACCACACACACCACACACACAAAAACACCACACACCACACATATCACACACACACACACACAAACATCACACACACACCCCACACACCACACACACATCACACACCACACACACCACACACACCACACACACATCACACACCACACACACCACACACACCACACACACCACACACACATCACACACCACACACACCACACACACCACACACACATCACACACCACACACACCACACACACCACACACACA